TAGTAGTAGTAGTAGTAGTAGTAGTAGTAGTAGTAGTAGTAGTAGTAGTAGTAGTAGTGGTAGTAGTAGTAGCAGCAGCAGCAGGAGTCGCACAAGTAGCAGAAGCAGAAGTAGCAGCAGTAGCAGGAGTAATAGTAGTAGCAGTAGCAGTCGCAGTAGCAGAAGTAGTTAGTGGTAGTCGGAGCAGTAGCAGTAGCAGTAGCAGTAGCAGTAGCAGTAGCAGTAGCAGTAGCAGGAGCAGTAGCTGCAGCTGCAGCAGCAGCAGTAGCAGTAGCAGTAGCAGTAGCAGTAGCAGCAGCAGCAGCAGCAGCAGCAGCAGCAGCCGCAGTGGCAGTGGCAGTGGCAGTGGCAGTGGCAGTAGCAGTAGGAGGAGTAGTAGTAGCAGTGGTTGTAGCAGTAGTAGTCGTAGTAGTAGTAGTAGTAGTAGTAGTAGTAGTAGTAGTAGTAGTAGTAGTAGTAGTAGTAGTAGTAATAGTAGTAGTAGTAGTAGTAGTAGTAGTAGTAGCAGTAGCAGTAGCAGTAGTAGTAGTAGTAGTCGTCGTAGTAGTAGTAGTAGTAGTACTAGTAGTAGTAGTAGTAGTAGTAGTAGTAGTAGTAGTAGTAGTAGTAGTAGTAGTAGTAGTAGTAGTACAAGTATCAGTACCAGTACAAGTACAAGTACAAATAGCAGTAGCAGTAGCGGTAGCAGGAGTAGTAGTAGTAGTAGTAGTAGTAGTAGTAGTAGTAGTAGTAGTAGTCCTAGTCGTAGTAGTGGTGGTGTAGAAGTAGTAGCAGCACTGGTAGTAGTGGTAGTGGCTGATTGCCGGTATGGTTTGCGCGGCGGCTTTGGTATACATGTACATGTCGCTGCTTAGACATTAGGGTCGCCAGATAGTTGATGCATATGATAGGTATGTATTTATATGTATGTACGGTTGTGTGTACATCTATGCTGTACATATGTATACACATGTTAATACTATACACACACGCAAACACTGTAACACATAAACTTGTACACACATAAATAGATGCGTATGTACTCAGATGCTTATACATGTATATACGCAGTCATGTATATATATATATATACATACACATATTTATGTATGTGATATAGTACTTTTGTTTACAACATGTGTAGGTGTGTATATATGTATATATGTATATGTGAGTATGTAGTATCATACGTATACAACTGTATATGTACACATGAATATGTTTATAATATGTATATGTATGCATGTAGCAATGTATCTACACACATATTTTTATTCATCCGCCTACCTATCTGTTTGTAATGTGAGAGATAGATGACTGCATGCAGATGTGCTTCCAGGGACGTCCGCAATGTGAATGTCCACCCATCCCCCTGATCCCTAACCCTAAACCCCAGCCCGGAGCGTGGTTTAGCGTTTCATAAGGTCCTGAGCCTCACGGGATCTCTAGGGTTTGGAGCTTATTCATGGGGTTTATGGTTTAGGGTTTCGGGTTTCATAGGGTGTATGGTTTGGGGTTTATCAGGACCGCCCAAATACCCGTTAAAGGGCTCTCATATTTTTTTAGGAAGAGTCAATTAGGGGCTACAATAAAGGGTAGTTGGGTCTAGGTGGTGTTTGGGGCTATGGGGTTTAGCCGAAGAAGTCCATGAGCTGTTTAAGCTTGTCTGGCTTCCTGCCGGGATCCCATACCCCCTACCCCATACCCTGAACCCCTAAAGCAGTAAGCCCCTAAACCCCAACTCCCCCAAATCGTGCCAGGATCCCTATGGTGGTGGCAAGAGCTAGAGAAGGAAGCATGTTGCGCAAGCACAGTGTGCAAAAGAGTGCAGGTTTCGACAGCGAGCCGTAATATGGGGCCTTAATTTTTAGAACCGTTATGCTGTAGTTATGAAGGAACCCCAAAATAGTATAGGAACTGTGGCCCCTATGTTAAGTCCGCCGGTTTCGGGCCCTTGTCCCAGTTCAAGCACAAGGATTCAGTATTCCGTAGTTGCCGGAAGGAGCTCCTCGGGCAACCCCATAAGTTCATGCTTACTCATGATGTTCACCTCTTCTGTGCTTTATGCGATGTTGATTTGTGGAGTATTCTTATGGTTGTTTAGCATTTCGGATTTTGGGAGTCTTCTTCGAGGACATAGCAGATGGAAGGCTTGCTGAATCTGACCGCAATCCCGAGCGAATGTGGATTTGCACTGGCCTTTAGAAAAAACCCTAAACCCTAAACCCTAAACCCTAAACCCTAAACCCCTAAACCCTAAACCCTAAACCCTCGGCGGCTTCCGCATTTGATGCAATAAGTTCTCGAAGGAGCTTGACTGGATAGCCTCGTTCCACACTAATTACCAGCTGAAGCCTTGGACTCTGCCTTCGTACCTTGTGGTGGATGTCGGCGGGTTGTGAAGTTTTATAAAGGGGACGGGGGAGAGCCGGTGCAAGTATGTCTGGAGCTTTCGGCAGGATCCAAGCCGGTCGTGTTGAGTATTGGTGCGCGCCTCACCCACAAGCTGTTACTTTGTTATAAATAACAGCTTGCGCACCGCTGGCCGGGTGCGGGGCACGCTGCATGAGAGTGAAAACTCGGAGTCCTTTCGGCCAACGTGCTACGGCACATGACAGTGGGGCGATGGGCTACTGCGCTCACTGGGGGACTCAGGACAAGCCGGAGAACTTGTAATAGTTGCCGGTGTTGCCGACATGCAGCGTTAGGAGGGGAGGCCCAGCACAAAAGCCGCACACCCTGAATCCTAAAACCCTACATCCTAGGTCCTAGACCCTTAACCCCAAGCCCTATGCTGTTGTGGAGATCCGCATGAGTGCTGAAAAGCTCGGGTTGCGAGTTCTGACGGCGGAGTGTACTTGCCATCGTTTCCTTCCGGAGGGGGCATTTTGCCCTGAACCCGGAACCCGGAACCCTGAACCCCATAAGGTAGGCCCCCCTCCATCGATGTTTTCTTGGTTGGCTTGGCCGCGGAGGAATCTAATTGACATTTAACTGTCGGGCCCTTCAACTAGGATGCCCAGTAGTACCCTTATTCCTTTTTTGTGGTCCTAGGTTCCTTATAAAGTTACCCAATACCAAAAAGAGAGGCCTGTTTGTTCTTAGGTTACTGGGTATCCTAGTCAAGGACCTCCTGTACTGTGTTTCCGCGGCCGAGAGCCCAAGACTTCCTGCATGAAGAAACACGCCCTGGACTTAATCTCCTAGAGACTCCAATATCCCTTATTTAAGGAATATTCCTTAAATTATAGTAGGATCCCTTAATATGATTTAAGGAATATTCCTTAATTAAGGGATATTGGAGTCTCTGGGCTAATGATTCAATATTGTGATCTAACAGCACGATCTAGACTTGCTGTTTCCATGATAAAACGTACATTCCTAAATTGAGGTGTTTGGGTTCTCCAGGTCGCACTGTGGGACAGGCACACATCCTTCGAGGCTGGCTTCTCCACATGGACTCTACCCAGAGGGCCCAAACTAGTTCCTTTTTGGGGCTCATGTATAGAACCCTGTAGGGTAATCCCAAACAGGAATACTTTGGGGCCTTAGGGTAGCCTCGCCATCCGAGCCCATAACTGTGGTACAACATACCCCGCCATGGAATTATTGCTCGATCGACTATCCGGGTCAGGTTGTATCGCGGTTTAGGGTCTAGGGTATGGGTTTAGGGTTTAGGGTTTAGGGTCTAGGGCATGGCGTCGAAGACTCTTCTTCTTCGACGTATGCCTCCGAACTATGCAGCGGCTACCCCCGAAGCAGGAAGCCCACAACACACCCCGGTGTCTAAGTTCGCCGCCCCCGCCCCCCAAAAAGCACGTAAGCAATAAGTAGGATAGAGATATCCCGTTTAGATCCCTTTATAATGCAGCCCAACATCGCAGGGATATCGCCCGTGTCATGAAGCCCAATAACTGTTGATGGACAAGATCCTGCATTACCCATTATAAGGAATATACCATAGTTCCCATAGTTTAGAGTCCTTAGGGTCATGCAGGATTTCGTCCATCAACAGTAACGTAGGGATATCCATGTAAATCCAAGAAGACCAGGGTTCAAGCTTTAGTGTTTAGTCTCGTGTTTAGGGTTGAGTTCAGGGGTTATGGTTCAGGGTTCAGGGTTTAGGCTTTAGGGTTTAGTCTAGTGTTTAGGGTTGAGTTTAGGGGTTATGGTTCAGGGTTCAGGGTTTAGGCTTTAGGGGGTTCAGTCTAGTGTTTAGGGTTGAGTTTAGGGATTCTGGTTCAGGGTTTAGGCTTTAAGGGGTTTAGTCTAGTGTTTAGGGTTGAGTTTAGGGATTAGGGTTTCAGGGGTTTAGGATTCAGGCTGACCTGCCTGAAGGGACCGAAATGTCGTCGGCTCTTTTTCTGGGCTCTTGTGAAAGGATTTTGTGTTAAACCATAACAAGGAAACCTTATATTATCTACTATAGACCCCGATTATGGTGACTTAAACTAATTTCCCCAACAAGAGTCCAGTTTTTCATCTTGACTTGAGCCACGCAGCGTTCCTAGGCGACTGTCGTCTCGTTGAAGCGGCCTCTGTGCACACGCGTGGGTTCTGAGACTACAACCACAGCAGCACTTGTCCAGACACTTGAGCCAGCACTGTACCAACAACATATTCCTTAGGGCTCCTGATTTTGGTATACCATCATATACCTCATATTCCTAAGGGTTCCTTGCCTTGGTTCTACTATCATGTACCCACAAGTCAGTAAGGCCCAGAGACTACCCTAAGCCGGAGCTCCCATAGCGCTCCATTCGGAAGCCTAAAGGGCGATTCAGACACCCTAGACCAAAACCACTACAGTAGACGTCGAAGCCGAAGCCGGAAGCCTGAAATTCTGAGCAAGACTGAAAGCCCCTATTATCAGCTTGAAGTCCCTAAACTCTGAACCCCTAGACCCCTGAACCCCTAAACCTCTAAACGCCTGAGCCCCTAAACCTTAAACCCTAAACCGGGCCACGGCCCTCAGCCCTCAGCCTAAACTCACGGGAAACGCTCTTCCCTTAAGCGCCGCCATGGATGGATTTGGCGATGCGCTGTTGGGCACGGTGCATCTGGGATGAAACTTAAGGGTTCAGGGTGTGCGGGCTCAGGGTTCAGGATTTAGGGGTTCATAGGGGTTCGGGGGCTTTATGGTGTGGGGTTGAGGGTTCAGGGTTTAAGGGTTTAGGTTTGGGGGTTTTGGTTTTGGGTTTCGGGGATGTCAAATCTCGAGGGTTCCTACGATCTACGTGTCGCTAGGGTTGGCTTAGGGTTTAGGGTTTAGGGTTTAGGGTTTTGGGTTTTGGGTTTAGGGTTTAGGGTTTAGGGTTTTGGGGTTTGAATGGGTTGAGGGTTGAGGGTCTACGCTTCAATACGGGGTGTCGCAAGTAGATAGTAGGCCTGCAGGCGCGTCATTGGGGGCTTGGGGTTGTAGCGTTCAGGTTTGGAGGGTTGGGGGTTGAGCATAGAATCCGGCATAGAAGCCCGAGAAGTCACTACTACTACGACTACTACAAGATACCCTAAGGTGCTATTCAATTTTCAGGTGGCTGTATTTGCAGCTTAGAGATCAGGGGGCGGCTTTCATTTCGGAGTCGCATGCTTCCGGGGCGTTATGGTCAAGCCGGCTAGCAGCTAGCCAAAAACAAGGACTGCTTTTTTTTGTTACCTTAAAGGGGTTACGATAATGATATTCCAACTTTCTGGCTTCTACTGTAAGGGATAAGGGTTGAGTGCGCTTATCAGCGACCCGTCGTAGCCGGCGCTGACTAGCGACACTTGGAGACTGTTGAAAACCCGACTGCTTTTTTGATTTTAAAGCTGTCGGGCTTCTACGGATTCAGCGAGATCTCGCTTTTGTGCTCGAGTAGTCTCGGGAGCCGTCGGCGCAAGATTCCTCTGAAAGGCTATGGGTCGTCAGCCTCAATATAGATCTTGGGATACTCGTAATAAGGAGCCATATGGGAGTTTCCGGAAATAGGGGACCCTAACCTAATACCCTAAATAGTAGGATCCTTATTCTAAGGATCCCCAAAGTAAGGTACCCCTATTTTCGAAAACCCCCATATTAGAGTCCTGCTTTGAAGAAGCACACCCCGGTTTAGGGTTTAGGGGTTTAGGGTGGCCCTTGCCAAGGCTGCTTGCGCAGTTGCCAGTGCAGCCACCCGAGGTCGCCTGGGCCTGTCTTAGGGTTTAGTAACGCTTAGAAGTTTAGGGTTTAGGGGTGTAAGGCCTAGGGAGTCTAGGGTTTAGGGTTTAGGGGCGACTTATGTATTTATGCATGCATGTATGCATGTACATATGCATGTATGCACGTATGTATTTATGTACACGTGTATGTATATGTGTGTATATATATATAGCAGTAGTAGTCTACTATGCAGAATTAGAGCAAGAGGGCTTTGGGATTTTGGAGTTTCTGGCAAGGAATTGGTTCAGGGTGACTTGTTTTTGGGAGTTCAGGGTTTATGGATGAGGGCTTAGGGTTTAGGCAGACATTTAAACTCACTCACTTGCTTGGTCATGATGTTTGATACGGCTGAGTGACCCCTAAACCCTAAACTCTAAACCCTCGACTCCCCTAGACCTCACACCCCTAAACCCTAAACTGCTAAGTGGTACTAAACCCTAAACCCTTAGACTGCAAAGCAGCCCGGATCGCCCCCACGACTGGAGGTCCTTTTCTTCGTACCAGGCGATGACGAGGAGCCTTGACTAACCCGGAAGGTTGCTGTAAGGGTTGGGGTTTAGAGACTTAGCGCATTTTAGGGTTTAGGGTAGGGTTTAGTTTAGGGGTTAGGGGTCAGGGCCTTAGGGGGTTAGGCATTTGGGTTTAGGTGCCATAAGGATGTCTATAATGTGCAATATACAACGAGAGTTGTGTTGTAGAAGGGTGTACGAAAATGGGATCTCTATAAGGGCTACTACCACGACAAGGGTCACTAGAATAATTGCTACTATATGCGTACAAACATAGGGTTTATAAGGTTCATGCAAGGTTTGGAGGGTTTCGGGGTCCGAGGGGTTTAGGGTTGGTGTGCAGAGTTCATGGGCCTCGATGCGCGAGGCACCAGAACTTACCAAATCACTGCAGAATCGGCACATGATGGTATCGATTAGAAGGCCCCCACCCTGTAATAGTGGTAGAATCGGAATATAACAGGGCACTAGTATAATCCTTATAGTCACTATTACAGGGTGGGGGCCCCTTCGAAGGTATCGAGCCGAAACTCAAAACCCTTAACGGAAACCCGAGCCCCTAATCCCCCAAGCCCGAAGCAGCTAACCTCTTAAACTTAAGACCCTACCTTAAACTACCAAACCCTATTTTTTTGTAGGTCCTTATTATAAACCCCGATATGGAATTTATAGGGACCCTACGCAAAAGTAGGGTTTGGTAGGTTAAGGTACATACCAACGTGCCCAAGCACCCCCCCCCCCCGCCTTCTGCCACAGCAACAGCGCGAATTTGGGTCGAGCATCATTCCAGAAATCAAGGGTCGGTCGTACGCCAAGGTGCCGAAAGTGCTGTGAATACCAGTGAAGTTGGTGTATTCACCCAACTCGGGACCTGGACATGAACCCTATACAACTTCTCTAATCCCGAAACCCAATTCCCGAAAGCCCGCCTAAACCCCAAACCCTCAGCCCTAAACGCTAAGCCTTAACAACGATGTTGAGCTCATGAGCTTAGGGTTTAGGGCTAGGCTTCAATTAACCGGCCAAAGCAAGTACCGCTCGCAGCGGCTTGGAGCAATTGTCCGCAAAACCCATCTCTGATTCTAAGGCCGCTAACCCCCAATCAGGGTTTAGGGTTTAGGGTTTAGGATTTAGGGTTTAGGGTTTAGGGGTTTAGGGTTTAGGGGTTTAGGGTTTAGGGCCCCAACATCTTAAACCTAAAACCCGAAACCCTACATAAGTGCGCACGACATGCGAAGGCCGCAGCGTCACAGCTGAATAAGGGTGCATTTTCGCGGTTTAGGGTTTTGGGTTTGGGATTTAGGCCTTGGGCTTGAGGGATTTGGGGGTTGAGGGCTTGAGAGGTTCAGGGTTTAGGGTTTACACTTTGGGGCTTGAGGGGTTTACAGTTTAAAGCTTGAGGGTTCAGAGGTTTTAGGTGTTCAGGTGCAACGGTTGGGGGCATAGCTATGGCAAAATTACTCGCCATTCAGACACCTTTGTCAAAAACCTGGTATTTTCGTGCATCTATGAAGGGCTACAAGGGGATCCGTAACCCCAGAGCCTTTAAACCCTAAACCCCTAAAGCAAACCCTGCACTTGCTGGCATGCTGGAATATAATTACGGCTACCAGGGCAAAACAGCGAGTCTGCAGCTAGCAGCGGAAAACCTTCGGCAGGCGCGGCGTTTCCCGCCTTAAACAAGGTCGGGATGTGTCACGTGATGATACTCCGTGACACCGAGAACCAAACGCCTGCAGCCCTATTCCTGGTCATAGTCGTGCTTTTCCGAATTCCTTTCCTTTCCAACGACAGCTGGGTAATCCAAGAGCAAATGTTTTTCAAGACAGGCCGCCGCAACCCGGTACAAGAACTTCCGGAGCCTGAATAATCAGACAAGGATTTTGGATTAGGGTTTATGGTTTAGGGTATTAGGGTGATTAGACTACGATGTTGGGGTATACTGTATCAGTGCCACATGGGGGCTATTGGGGGTCGTGAGGAAATTCAGTAGCTTGAAGCAACCCTGGACAACACTCGACCCTAAACCCTAAAACCCTTAAACCCTAAAACCCTAAACCCTGAAACACTAAAACCCTAAAGCCCTAAACCCTAAACCACTAGCCCCGTCAGACAAAAAGAACCCTAAACCACCCTCAGACTCGGCCGAAAGGAGCAGGAGGATGCGCCCGACGACGAAGAGGGGGTTGAGGTGCATCCGGAGTTGAGGGTTAGGGTTTAGGGTTTAGGGTTGAGGGTTTAGGGTTTAGGGCTTTCCTAGTAGTATCCTTTGACCTTTTCTCTTGGTTTTTGGGTTTATGGTTTGGGCTTTCCTTGGACCTTTTCTCTTGGTTTTTGGGTTTATGGTTTGGGCTTGTGCAGGCATCCAGATGAAGAATAGGTCCACTTGGTGGCTGGGGGCCTTGTGTCTTCAGGTTCAGGATTGAGGGCATTATGAGTGTGGACACCTTACTTATATATTTTATAACCCCAAGTCCTAAGTCCTATGATCCTTTAAGTAAGCTTGTTTATGAGGTAGTTCCGATCGATCGCAGGACGACTTCGAACCCGAATCCTCGCGGGACGACTTCTCCATCCTGCGCGCGGGGCGGCCGAGTGTGGGATCTCTTTAGGGTTTAGGTTTTAGGGTGGGATTTAAGGTTTGGGGTTTGGGGTTTAGGTTTTGAGTGGCTTACGGGGATTGTTCAGGGGGTGTTGAATGGTTTTGGGGGTTTAGGGTTGGGGATTTAGGGCAATTTAGGGTCAGGGTTGGGGGTCAGGACTGTTGAGGGCGTTGTGAAGGGGTTTCTCGTCCTGCAACAGCCGTGTCTTGTAGCTGCCGAGTGACATTGGTCATATGTTGGCTGTAACCAGACGAGTCGACGAAGCATGATATACTGATATACTTCGTCTCAGACTATACCTATATCATGCAAGGAGTTCTACCTGTGCGGAAGTGAGAGTTGGACGAGACATACTACATGAATCACCCTAAACCCTAAACCCTAAACCCTAAACCCTAAACCCTGAACCCTAAACCCTAAACCCTAAACCCTAAAATGAACATGAACAACTGCACCAGGGCTTCGGCAAGGGTACGTTGGTAAGTATTCAGATATTGGAAAGTCTGCAGACGGAACGGGAACTGCAGGTGCTCACATAGGAAGCGTTTTCGGACTAAAGACATGGCAATGTCCTGCAGTTCAGGCTGAGTGTTTGTGTTTCTAACTATGAGCTGTTTTTCAGGGTTTGGGAACCGGCAGGGCTTTGATTTAGTTCGGGTAGGCTTTCGGATCGGGGTTGACGCGTCCAGGGCTAAGCCTGCGTCTCGGGTGTTTTGCGGGTCTTATGCACAGCGCGTTCATCTTCATATACCTGCGACGTGATACTTCAGCATAATGCAGTTGACCAGCAACGTATGGATAGATGCCGTTGCTGATGCATGTGCATGTGCGAGAACTTGCTGCGGTGGTCAAATTCACGACAACTGCAGTCTGTGAACATGCGAGCGTCAGGGCACAGTCACTCACACTATGATGGCACTAAATCATACATGTACAATCCGGCTGGGAAGCGTGCCTATTACAACTAGCAGGGCACACATTGCTTGACTTGCGGAAGTGCCCGTTTGGCAACCGATTACCGCAAGCACTTTTTTTATGGTATTTGATGGCCATTCTCAGCATCATGCAATCACGGTGCGCTGAATGCTGCAACACGATGCGCCTGTGTGATGTTGATTGACATGATTTTGTGGATTTTTCGTTGGCAGCAACTACTTCATCAATGGTCGGGTAGCTCAGCTCAGTTCAACAAAGGAGAGAGAGAGAGAGAGAGAGAGAGAGAGAGAGAGAGAGAGAGCGAGAGCGAGAGACAGAATGGGAGCGAGTGCGACGAGGAAGAGAGAGAGTGAGAGAGGCAGTGTGTGTGTGTGTCTGTGCGTGTGTGCGTGTGTGTGTGTGTGTGTGTTTGTGTGTGAGAGTGAGAGAGAGAGAGAGAGTGTGTGTGTGTGCGGGCGCGGGTTTGTGTGATTAGTCCGCATGTGCTGTGCGAGATGTCGAAACAGCTTCAGTGTGATCGTGACATATGTCAAGATATCATGATCTCCAGAACAGCAGGACATCCGTTGAGCAGGTTTTTGCCGCCTGTCGCGAGGGGAACAAGCGGAACGTTAAACCCACACATTGGAGCCTTAATTCTAGAATAGGGTGCGTTGTTGAGGATGTTAGGAGCCGGGGGTCTGAACATCTACGGCTTTATAATTCAATCATGGGGCTCTGGCCTTGTGGGGTTTCCCGTGCTTTGGTTCTCAAGAAGGGGCTCTTGCAGGTCTGAAGGCCATAGCACTCAGCCTTGACCCCTTAAGCCATACAGTTCCGAAGATCTGCAGAATTGCAAGGCTTGACTGAAATTAGAGAAGGCCGTGTGTACCGAGGTTGTTGTTTAGCGACCAGTGTTTAGGGAGTTTAGGGTTATAGGTTCAGAGATGTTCGGGTGGAAGGTGTTGACGTGTTCAGGGCTTGGGTGTTTAGATGTGTTTAGTACAGGGCTCTGCAGGCTTGTCAACGCAAGCCCTTAAAATTAAACCCTAAACTCTGAAGCCCTTAAGCCTAAACCCTGAGTTTGTTTGAAGTGATGTCCCATGCCGAGTCTCGGAACATGGGTGCGCCTGTGATGTCTTCGGCGGAGGTTCCCAGGGCTGGGGTGCTTGCGAGGACATTCGGAAATAGAATAGGTCTCTTCAAGGATTCGGGGTTTACAACTTAGGGCTTTAATGAGTAGACTAGGTCTGTTCAAGGGTCTAAGGTTTAGGATTGTAATTATTACAGTAGGTCTTGGTTGAGGGTTTAGGAACCTATACTTCGAGTAGGTCTGCTCAAGGGTCTTAGTCTTAGTCATCTTTTTATATGGCTATCTTTACCGGTTTGAATATGGAGGCCTTAGTACTTAGAATAAGGTCTTGGGGAGTACAAAATGTTTGTATTGGGACTAAAAGAGAACACTATCGCACTTCATTCAGATCCCTATAGTTGAAGGCTACCGACAGACCAATATCCGGCAACAAACCCTAAGGGTCCGAGTGCCCATTTATCATATACTCTCAAAAACAGTCCTACATAACTACTTCCCCAAACCCAAGTACCTAATTATTGGGTCCTTTGGACCCTTAGGGAAAAGGTGTACACCGAAAAAATGTATTGGGCATCTTAACAGCAGCACTACCCAAGAGGGCTTCTTACGAGGCATTGCTGGATGAAGGGATTGTGGAGTTTGAGGGTGTTTTCTGCTAACTTATACATCAACCTTGAACTCAGAATCAACCAAAAACCCCAGACCCTAAATGGGCAAGTTTCAATCTCAGGGTTCGTTTGGGGAACCCTATATAATTCTATTATTCATACAGCACCCTCTAGCTTGTTTTCTCAAAGACGCCGTACATTGAACCCTCAACCCGAAATCCCAGCTTCCAAGATGAGACATTCCTAGGATGGCCAGTAGTACCTTTATTCCCTTTTTGTAGTCCTAGGTTCCTTATAAAGTTACCCAATACCAAAAAGGGAGCCCTTTTTATTCAGATTCTGGGCAGGATCTGAACAGACACAGCCTTCAATACTTTGGTGTCACGCTCTCAGGGCCCTGGAGTGAAATCCTAAACCCTAACCCATAACCCTACTGCCTCTTAGGGTAGGGTTGAGGGTGTAGGGTAGATCCCCTGAGAATACAGTCCCCTGCCCCCACCCAAGCCTTATTCCAGCTGTTCAGGCCCCAGTACCAGGGATTTATATACGGTTTTCAGATACGGTTCAGGGCTTTAAAGGATCTTTGGGTTAGGGTTTGGGGGTTTAAAGTTAGAAGCCCTGAACCTTAAAATCCCTAAACCGTTTGATTTGTCGGGCTGTTCAGAAGCTGCTGGCTGTAGCCCGTAAGGACCCCGGAGTAGAAGAAGTGTTTCGAGGGATCTCGTACTGTGAGAAGAAAGGCCATCGGGAGCCATATCTAGGGATAGGTTAACGTAAAGTACGTGCTTGGGAAAGCTATGGCTGTCCGGTTCTTGTGAGGTATACATACCACAAGAGCAGGATGTGTCAGACATACCCCTCAACACCCCTAAAGCTTACAACAAGTTCATGCTGACTTGTATGGCCCCGAGAGGAGTGCGAGTCTAAAGTTCAGGAGTTTTGTGTCTCATGGTATTCCGGATTTCAATATGGGCTATGTCAATAATAAGAACCGGCTTTGGTAGTGTATTCAAGAAAGCTACTAGTGATAACGAGGGTGTATTGTTATTGATTATTCCGATCCCCAAATCAGTAGTGCCAAGCCTTCAGGTTGCAGGGGTTGACAGCAGGGTTTAGCGCTTAGGGTTGTTTATGCCGTTTAGGGTTTAAGCCATTGGATCCGGATTGCGTTTAGCCTCCAGGTCGAGGGTTCAAGTTGCAGGAGTTGCCGAGAGCACGCTTGTTCCACCCATTTGTGTGGATTCTGGCAGACTTGCAGGTTTTCTCAACAAATCCACAACAGGGTTTTCTATCCGCTGAGTAGTCAGGGGTTGTTACATACCCAACAGATACACACAACATCACAACCCACAGACACAAGCAAACGCACACACACACAAACTAACGCATTGATATGTGTAGAAATATATATATATATATATATATATATATATATATCTATATATACATATATATATATATATGCACCCACCAATGACTCAAGGATTAGTTCCGAGTTCATAGGCATGCAAAATCAGGTTCCCAAGCACCTGAACACCATGAGGTTCCGAGCACCACGCTGGCAAAACTCATGATCCCAATGTCAGAGGCACGAGGGAACCGTCCCCTTATCAGCTTCAGGAACTCACCTCAAGATTTTAGTCTGCTTCTGAAAGCCCCTATTTTGCGTTTTTTGGCTCGTTGAAGTCGGTGCCTTCACTGGGATGGTGCACTCCAGCAGTCAATTCGACACAATCCCCAAGCCAAACTTTGACCTAAAGTGGACGTCATCCATTATCAGCACTCTAAGGGTCCAAGTACCCAAATACTAAGGGCCCATGTACCCAAATACTAAGGGCCCATGTACCCAAACAGTGTATACTTTGGGCAGAAGATAGTAAGTCCTTATATATGCACTCTGGGGCCAAAGTATACACTATTTAGATACATGGACCCTTAGAGAGCCGGGTCCCCAAAAAAACCCGAAAGGAAAACAGGAATCATGAGCAGAGCAATGCCCCAAGGGACCCTTGAAGCCCAAACCCCTGGCCAGAGCGGTGTTATCATAGACCTCAATTAGGGCTTAGCAGTAAATCCTGGACGTTTTGAGGCCTTTGGTGTTTAGGGTTTGCATGAGTGCAAAGAGTCTTTAAACCTTCAACCCTAAACTTAAAACCCTAAATCCTAATCTGCCCGGCAGGGGCAAATTTGCAACCAGCTGACGATTTCTGAAGTCGTCCCTCCGCTGCATCCGTTTGAGATTTGCACGGCTTCGAGGAAACTTATTTTTGTATCATATGTAGGGATCCGCGCCATTATTGTTTGAACGTTCTTGATGCGATGTCAGAAAAGTACCATGGCCTTCGTGATGAATTAGGGGGGTGGGCATTTACCGCTCTAATACTTGTACGGTGATGTCGGGACTATAGTCTATAGGGTTAAGTCGTTCCAACCCATATCACCGCGGAAGCTGAACACACTGAGGTCGTCTCCGCTTTTAAATCGAGGGGTTGTTGAGAACTAACTAGCAGCCCTGAAGTTAGGGGTAGTTACATGTGGGATGGGAGTATGCATTTTGTGTTTCATGCTATGTGAGGAACGTCCCCCATAGTTCTGAGATCCTATTCGTCACATTGATTTGGTCCGGCCTCGGTCTCAAGTTGGGTCGATGGTGTTGCATCCGTACTTGCCTTGTCTTGACCTCGTAAGCACGTGACCCTTTGATAAGAGCCTCAATGCATTTCAGTGTTGTTTTTGCTCAGTAGCGTGACAATCGCGAGACCAAGCGTATCTAAAAGCTGCCCCAACGGAGTCTTGGGAGATTTGAACCCACCCTCAGCAGTTTCAAAGGACCCGGGAGCATAGCTGCGCATGGCGCTGAGCCGAAGAAGCCTCGAAACCCTACCGGAATGCATGGTGCGACCTGCTTCAGAGCCCTGCCCTCTCACATTTAGGGTGCTACTGCTTCTTTAGGCTTCGAACTTCTATATCTTGTTCTGATTACTTATGTTCCTGCTACATTAGAGGTAGGCTTTTGCAACCGAGGATGCTGGCAAATTTGAATACGCCCATCGGCACAACACGAAGTGCCCCGACCAGCAAACACGGTGAGCTTTACCCGGAGCGCGTCTTTTGAGTTTCGAGTTGCCGGTTGCGCAGACCAATTGACCCTAAACCCCTAAACCCGAAACCCTGAACCCTAAACCCTGAGCCCTAAACTCTAGACCCCAAACCCCTAAACCCCTAAACCTCAAACCCTAAACCCTAAAACCCATCTGGGACTTATGATTGAGGTCGGATAGTATGGAAATGAGATCTACCTTAGAATCCCAAACCCTACTTTTTTTGTGGTTCTTATTATAAACCCTAATCTGGAATTTATCGGGACCCTACAAAAAAGTAGGTTTTGGTAGCTTAAGGTCTAAGGTAGAAGCTCGCCCTCTAAACCCTGGAACCTCTAAGCCGTGGAGTCTGAACCCCAAACCTTAAACCCCGAGCCCCAACTCCCGAAGTGCCCTAAATCCTAGGACCCTATATAAACCCTAAACCGGTTTTCAAAAACCTAAACCACCTCTAATTCCTAGGACCCTAAACCCTAAACCGATTTTAGAATAAACTTTAACCACCTGTACCTAGAGCCAAGAGTTTCTCGTGGGTTTTTGGCCTTTTAGGGTTCCTGTGAGCTTTCTCTTCAAGGCCATAAGGGTTCTCATGAAGATTGCCGGAAGGGTGGGTGTGAAGGGTTCCGGTTTCGGGCTTCGGTTCGGGTGTTCGAGCCTTCAGCTGGGTAGAAGTTGGGTTTCGTGTTTGGGATTTCAGGTTCAGGATTAGGATTCCGGGCTGAGGGTTTAGGGTTGAGCGCTTGGGGTTGAGGGTTTAGGGGTTTAGGATGTTTGGTTTGCCCAGGGAGAACCACGACCACCTGCTCTTCGTGTCCCATCCATGTGGCTTCGCGAAGATTGCGGACGGGTCCCATCCGTTGTGTTGGGCATGTTAGTGCTTGTGGCTGGTGTTCAGGACTTTAGTTTGGGATGTAGTAGGGCTCCGGCTCTTGTCTCCATGATACAGTTTTTTGGGACCGATGATGGCTTGTGTTCTGAGTTCTGGATGCTCATGTTGCAAGCTCCTACTATGCCTGGTTTGCTCGGACCCAGCCCCCCAAACCTCAAATACGCAACTCCTGGCATACCCTTTGCCTTGGATCCCAAAGCCCCAGATGCTAAACCCTAAACCATCCCTAAACCCCTGATCTGATACACCGCTACTAGGACCCAGAGTAGGCCCTTATTCCCTTTTTTAGGGTTCAGGTTCCCTTATAAGCCCCTTTAAACCAAAAAGGGCATCCTTTTTATGCCTGGGTTACTCTTGGGTCTAGGCTACGAAGCTCTAAGCACCTCCCGTGGACCCCCAAGCCCCACACCCCTATCCCCAAACTCTCCTTAATCCATAACCCCGGAGCCTCCGCCGAAATACGCGCGCATCGTGCTTTCCACTATGTGGAGAGCTGCAACAATGCCACCGGGACCATATGCCATTGCAGCCCAGAGACTCCAAAACCCCTTAATTAAGGAATATACCTGAAATTATAGTAGAATCCCTAATATGATCTAAGAAATATTCCATAATTAAGGGATATTGGAGTCTCTGGGCACATGCCATTGCAGTGTGTGTCGCAATCCTTGCCGCGACTGGTCCGGTACATCAAGGCCACTGGGGCAGGCTGGAGTAATGGAGGGGCCTTAGTAATGAGAAAAGGGCTTTTGGGGGGATTATTAGTATAGATATAGTCTATATAGTATAGTGGAGGGGCCTTAATAATGAGAAGAGGGTTTTTCGGGGATTATTAGTATAGATCTAGTATAATGGAGGGGCCTTAATAATTAGAAGAGGGCTTTGGGGGATTATTAGTATAGATAGATATAGTATAATGGGAGGGGCCTTAATAATTAGAAGAGGGCTTTGGAGGATTATATCTATATTTGTAGTATAATGTAACCCCCAACCCCTTAAATAATTAGAAGAGGGCTTTGGGGGATTATTCTTATATTTATAGTATAATGTACCCCCAAACTCTATCTAATTATTGCGTGCTCATTGGGCGGATTGCCATGCTACGCCAGTCCCAGGCCCGACAGAATTTCTGGCTTACGGCCGAAGGCGACCTCACGAGAGTGAAGGGAGCACACACAACGATTTAGGGTTTAGGGTTTCGGGGCTTAGGGGTTTAGGGTTTAGGGTTTTAGAGTTTAGGGTCTTAGTGTTTTAGATTTTAGGGCCTTTGGGGTTTATGGTCGTGTTCCTTATCTCTTCGATGTCCGACAGGTTGCGTTGCTTCCTTCTCGTCTAAACTGGGTTCTTGTGCAAACAGGGGTTCAGTTAAAGGCATAATCAGGAAGCCCCATTATCTACTATGGATCCCTATTATGGTAACTTAGATAAACTCCCCCAACAAGAGCCCAGTTAAGGCCCTGTGAACCGGGGATTGGCCTGAGAACTGGGTTTGCCAAATGGCGCTCGGAGGATGGAGGGACTTAGTAAGCCAGGTTATAAGTTATAAGTACCTGAATTCGGGTCATAAGTAACTATAAGTATAGTTACCTTACTTATAACCGTAGCTGCTAAGTCCCATGATCCTTGAAGCAGTTTCGCCACCAGCTCAATGGAAATGACAGTGACGGAGATCAAGGATGTCTTGAAGCCTGGCGGGATGATCCTCGGCACTGCTGGCACAACCCTAAGCACACCCGAGACCCGACAAGGCAAGAAAAAACTCCTTGAAACCTAAAACGGCTCCATAAAACCGTTTTAACCCCCATGACACCCGAAACCCTAAACCCCCAACCATGAACTCTGCAAGTCCTAAGCTCCCCCAAACCTCGCAGGACCAAGCCCATAGGACCTTACAAAGCCCTATAACTCCCCATGAAACTTTATAAAACCCATAATACACCATAAAAACCTAGAACAACCCTATTCCGGCCGTATCAAACCCCTGAAAAGCCCCTTTAAACCCTAAACCCTAAGCCGACTCCACCTCGCAGGACCGAAATCCAGAGACCTGGAAGAACAAGCTGCCAAAAAGTCAGCTCGTTCAGTGTTTCAACATTGTGCCACCTGGCCGGTTTGGGGTTTAGCGGTTTAGGGGTTAGGGGCTTTAGGGATTTTTGGGTTTGGGGGTTTAGGGGGTTTAGGGGTTTTGGGTTTTGGTGGTTTAGATGTCAGGGCCTTTAGGCGGGATTTTTGGGGTCTAGGGTTTAGGCGTTTAGGGTTTAGGGGTTTAGGGGTTTAGGGGTTTAGGGGTTTAGGGTTTAGGCGTTTGGGGTTTAGGGTTCATGGGGTTAAGGGCTTGGGTTCCTTTCAGGGCCTCCTTTAAGAGCTCCGTTTTAAAGGGTTCCTTCAAGGGTTCCTTTCAGGGGTGCATCAGGGTTACTGCGGAATACACCTGAATTCGACGGTGTACTCGTAATCAATCTCAATCTCAAATCCAGATTCTTCCCAACAATGCCCGAAATCCAACCTGCGATTCCCAGAATGAAAGGCCAAGGTCACAGGAAGCAATGGGCCGCGGATGAGATGCACTGGGATTTTCTCTGCACTGCAAAAGACGAAGTTAGATCCTCGAGGAAATCTTTACATCGAGCTTGCTATGCGATCTCAAAGGAATCTTCCAAGCTCCATCTCAAGGATAACTACGCTTATCATTTACTTTGGGACCGTCGCCTCTTGCTGAGCTTCACTTGAGCCACAGCAGGCAACACTGCATCTGTCGGCGACACGGCCGAACACCACGCAGTCCCAGCTGGTCTCTCCAAGACCTGGAGCACTTCCGCACTCCTCCTTGGCACTTCCGTCAGGAAGCGCCACTTCTGCTTCAAAACTTTCGAGGACTTCTTACAGGAACCGGCTCCGCTCAGGCTCCTATGCACATCCTCTTGCATCACGGACTGCTCGCGCGACGACAGTACTCGCACAAACGAAGGCTTCTGTGGTTGGAGGCCTTCAGATATCCTTGGCAACCTTCTTGAAGATGATAGCACTCACCACTGCCTACATGAACCCTCGCAGGCAACGTAGGGACCGGTTCTCTAATGATCCGGATCTCAGATCTGGGTTGAAGCAATTCCCTGGCTACCTGTGGCTCAGTTTGGGTGCTCACTTCTTTGTGAATTCTTACAGCCTGTCTACCTCGATCTGCTGGGACTTCAGACGGTGAGACATGTGATGCAGGCTGGACTCTAGATGCTGAGGCTACTGCTTGGGACCTTGCTAACACCGACGATTGGAAAGCGGAAGCAGTTTGCTCTGAATATGTGCTACTCAAACCCCTACGCCTTCTAACCCCTTCAGACCCTGGCGGCGCTTGCATAGGTGGTTCTGTCAACGCCGACTCCAAGACATCATCGATCCTCGCCTGAAGCTCTGAGCTGATTGCCTTTCTCAAGCGCTCGGCCCGCTGAGCCTTACGCGCCTGCTTTCTGAGCAGTGGTTCCCCAAACTTTCTCCAGACTACCTTTCCTACTTCCCACAGCGCAACAGCAGTAACTACAAGCATCCCTGCGACAAGATACAGCACTACATCCGACTTGACATTCTCTCTCTCACTCTCCTCTTCTTCTTGACCCGTCACAACTCCTGACTGCAACAGCAACATGAGTGCAAGGAGAATCCTACGGGTGTGAGGCTTAGGGTCTACTCCTACCGCGAACAGCTCTTGATTGAAAAGACCCCACTGGTCCGAGAGGTCCTGAATTCTCGGACGCGACAGTGCTTTCGTCAACAGGTCAGCTCTTTGCTGATCTCCTCTTTGAAACTCTAGCTCGAACTCTTCTTCTGCCAGCTTCTCCGATAGCCAAGCGCAACGCACTCTGAGATGCCGTGTCCTCCAGGAAAACTGGCCTTGCTGTATACAAATTGCTGAAGTAGAGTCACAAAAAATCTGCTTACGCTGAATCTCGAAACCCATTGCCGCGATCAACGCTGATATTGACTCAAGTGCTACTGCTCCTTCCTGGAGCGCTAGAAGCTCTGCTTCTGCGCTGCTTAAAACAACGAATGGTTGACGGCTTGATTTCCACTGCAGGGCCCCTGAGTGCAGGTACAGGCACCAACCGGTGTGGCTCTTCGACCCGTCCGGCGCAAATGATGCGTCTGTGTATGCCTGGAGCTGCTCTTCGGATGCCTGGTATCGAAGCCCCAACGACTTCGTTTCCACAGCATAACACAGAGCTCTGGTTGCCACCCTCTCACTCCGCACTGGAGCTCGAGTTGCCAGTGAACCTGCTAGAGCAGCGACGAATCCTAAGTCTGGACGAGATCTTTGGCTGAGCCAAAGGACCTCGCCTGTTAGCTTTTGAGCTCGAAGCGTGTCCTCCGGAGTCGGATCTGGGTCCGATGGTAGCAGGCCGAAGCTTGCATCGTCCTTTGAGACTGGAGTTTTGAAACCTTTCTTCAGATCTTGAGTTCTTTCAATCTCCTCCAGATAAGAACCCTGGCTCAAGAAAAACCCGTTGGGTATCACCGATATGTCCGTTCCCAAGAATTGGATTGGAGAACCCTCGCTGGCGTAGGTAAGTGGGGAGGTGTCCCAAAGTCTCCGCACCATGCCCGCCACTGCATCTATGATCGCTGGTGGGCCTCCGAAGAGGAGGTCATCCACATAAACCAATAGCAATGCTAGGGTCTCTCCCTTCAGTTCTCCCACACGCTTGACGAGCCATAAGTTGCCATCCAAGTCACACTGAACCAAAGTTACTTCACCATCTGATGTTTGTATCACTTGGTTCTTCAACAATGAGTCTCTATGCAGCCCCCAAAGGCGTGGTGCCTCTCGGAGGCCGTAGAGAGCCCTTGAGAGTTGCCACTGTTCTTCATCATCTATCACATCAAGCAGTTTGAGAATGGATGGTGGTTTGACTAGTACGGCTGGGAAATCCTTCTCAGGCATCGGTGTTTGCAGAAATGCTGAAGCTATGTCGAGTGTTGCTAGACTCCATTTTTGTTTACTCGTGATAATCAAGAGGATGCGTAATGTTTCTGATGACGCCCCTGAGGCGTATACCGGGAGTCCCGTTTCTTCAGCATAATTGCCGCAACATACGATTCGAGCCTTTCTTCGGTAGAACATTGTCTCTGTCCAACCTGGATCATTCCTTGACACCTGGGTTTCATTCGTAAGTGCGCCTTGTGTCGGTGGCTTTACACTAAACACAATCTTGCTTGGCACCTGAATCGTATTCGGAAGATCAAGAAGCCGCTTGAACTCCGAAGAACTTCGGCGCCATCGTTTCAGACCATGTTTGATCCCGTCAAACTCCTTTTGTATGGCGGGTTTCCATTTCAACAGATGGGCCTTTGCTTCTCTGGGGTCGCAAAGGTGAACAACCTTGAGTGGTGAGCTCAAGGACTTTAGAAATGATTCCAAGTCTGTTGTAAACGATTGCTCCACTTTCCTCACTGCTTGAATGGTTCTGAGGGACTTTGGAAGTGACTGAACCTCCACGGTAGCTTCACATGACTCCTCCTCAACCAGCTCCACATAGCCCTCACCGCTCAGTGGGACAAGCAATGACCGCACATTCCTTGGAACAAAGTCCTGAGATGTACCAGAACTGTTATGCGACGTACGTTCCGCGCCTTCGTGATGGTTTAAACAAACTTGCATTTCATTCATCTCTTTGGGCACCACCGGTAGCGGAGCCCTCAGAGCATCCTGGAAGGCCTCACCCTCCCGATGCGGACTAACCTTGAGTCCCCAATTCACATGCAACTCCACACTCTCGGATACGCCTTGAACCCTTTCCGTCCAACCTCCAGACCGCTGAAGACCCGAATCCTTAGGAATCGAATCCCTCGCGTCCCTGTCACGAGACTTTACAGCATAGGCCTGCTCCGGGCTTCTGCCGCCTTCAGTCTGATGATACTGCGCTCCGATACTTCCATCCTGTAACATTCGGCTTCCATCTCCAAGTCCTAGCAGACCTGAGTCCTCAAGAGTCTGATCCCCTAGGGTACTTGAAGCGGGATTTACCGCACGGAAAAAGGGAGAAGTGACATCATCAAGAAACCTTCCCCTCGAACTTTCTGTAAGCTGTCTCAGCTCCTCCGCGCTAAGGCCCTCAAGTAAGCCTTCGCACGGAAAACCTAAATTCTCCATGTTCGCCCAAGTTTCAACCTTCACTTTGTCCAGTGTTTGAACTCTGTATCCGACTAGTACAACCCTGTCTCCTTGATAGGTCGTGACGCCGTGGCGCCTTCTGGGATTCAACAGGGAAGGAACCAAAGTCTGCAAGCGATTCACAACTCCGTAATACTTCCGACCTGAGTCCGACTGCATTTCTTCAATGCCCCCTGTTAGGACATCTCCTGGCATCACCTGTGTCCAATGATGCCCTCCTGACCGAGGCATAAGAAGCGGAAGGACAATGTTCATAGACTCTGGGTGATTGTTTTTATCTCTGTGAACTGGTAAGGCGTCCGTAAAGAGGCCAATGGATGTGTATTCATGGCCTGGTGCATACTGCGTCAAGAGGGCGTTGAGAAGTCGAACAAACAATGGCCTTTCCCTGTTACCAGTGTGTTCTCCTACAATACCTCCCCGCCTACACAGTCCTGCCAAAAATCTACTTCCTGGCATTTTCTTACACCACTTAAGAACGCACTGCCGAGCCTTCGCAGGATCCCAATCCGACAATACCTTACGAGCCTCCTCCTCAAACGATGCTTTTAGTGCTTCTTCCCTGTTTACTTGACGCACAGCTGGAGCGCCGGTTGGTGACGGGGGCTTCGTCTTTCCGGTCATTCGTCTACCAACTAAGGGAACATGCATGGACGGTGGTTCCGGTGGGGCCTCAACGTTCGCTCGCACATTCGTTGAGTGCATAAACATTGCCTTTCCACCTTCATGTTTCACCAACACATGCGCACCTGCAACCAACTGAGATAAACCTACATATCTGTACTCTACCCACCGTGATGAAAACTCTTGCCGCTCTTCATGAGACCGAGGCTGAAGTGCCAGCACTTTTGTCCCAAACGGAGTGAGCAACTTGGTTGATAGACCGAGCACACTTGACCTTTGGAGGGTGGCTGCTGTTGCCAACGCCTGAGGCC